TGGGTCTACTGCTACAGTCATACCCCCCACCACAGACACATGTACACACACCCCAGACTTCCCCCACACACACCCCCAGCCACCCTCCCCCTCCACACTCCCCACAGCCCCCCCATAAACCCCATACCCAGTCTGTCTCTCTCACACACACACACACACACACACACACACACACACACACACACACACACACACACACACACACACAAACCATCCATACCCACCCAGACTTACCCCTCCCACTCAATATACAAGAGTAAGACTTCATTTTGAGCTATTACGTAATCAACTCTATATACAGAGCAAAACATAAAATAGGGACAAAAATATTTTTTAAATAAAATTAAAATATGCTATTGTCAATGTTTGATTTTTAGTATATAATATTTTTTTCCGGTTCCAAGATGGCAAATCCCCTTCCCAAAAGGAGTACTTCTGGGGGGAAAGGTCAGGGGTTGGGGGCAGGACTTCCAGTCCCTAGACAGCAACAAGGAGGCAGGGTATCTGTCAAGGGGTGGGGCTACCCTTGCGGCCCGACAGCTCCCCAAAACTTGTAAGGTGGCCCTCCATCTGAAATAATTGCCTGTACCTGTGTATTAGAAGCCCTGAAAGCAAGGAGAGCTAGTTACTGTCAGTACTGCTAATAACCACAGCACTGACTGCTTGTACTTAATGATCGCTGTTTACATTACAGAATTACGACATGAGAACCAAAATATTAAAGAGACTTCTAATATTTTTGCTAGGGTGAACAGTTAAACACAGACTAACAGATGCTACTCTGTTCTGAAACAAAAATGATAGCTGATAAATTAAGATTTACATAGACAAAGGCAAAAGAATTTATTTTCATGATCTCAAGCTCACAAAAATGTATGCACCCCTGGTTTAATCTAAGGTGCAACTTTATGTTGCCTTCTGGGGGACATACAAATACTGCTCTACTGAACTGGCTGTTCCCTTACAAATTCTGCATAGCAAGTGGTAATCTTTCCATCCATGTTCACAGGTAAGAATGAAAAATTCCCCTAACTCTATTCGTGACCATTTCTGAACCTTCACCATTCTCACAAAAGCTCCCTTTTCATGTAGGCAGGCATCTAGTACATCTGCTAGTCTAAAGGAACCAAGGGCACCTCTGTGCAATTTTGGGGGAGGGATTACCAACTTCTTCAAGAATGTGCTGGTGTCACCCAAAATGTCTAATTCTTTGCTGCCAGTTTTGCATGGATTAACAGTTTTTGAAGAGGCACAATATAGTAGCATATGTAGAAAACTAACATTCAGGTTTTCACCTACAAGCTAAGATGGATGCCGGGATCTGCAGAAAACGCCACAATTCCACATAGTAGAACTCCCTCTGCAGCTTATACCAAATATGCCCACAGGTAAAACGAGCTTTTGACTGCAGTGAGATTGCTTTTTCACTCACGTTACTTCAGACGATAGCAAACTCATAATAGTACATAACTACCCAATCATGAGAGGGTCCATAAGAAAGACAATTGCATCAAACTTGGTGTATCGCACACTTGATAAAGGGGTTTGGATTTGAAGGTTAGTTTTAACAGTATTAGCAGTCTTTCTGGTGAAGTGATAGAAATAACTAGTGTGAAAATGAGGACATGAACATATGTATCTTGAAGGTCTACAAGACCTTCTCTTGCACTGACCACCTGATTTACTGAGTGATTCATGCAGAGGTTTCCACTAACTCTTGGATGAAAGTCTGCTTGTGAATGGTATGTCATCACCATGCCTCCTGTCAGAATTTTTTGGTTTGCAAATGACACTTCAAAGCATTGGCTCTGTTAACTGCTGTTATAAACAGATTACATGGGTTCTGTTCTAACTAAGAGACAAATATTTGGGAAGGTGATAATGGAAAGTCCTTAAGATGCAGGGAGATCCCACTTCAAAAAGCTCAAATGGTCTGATTTCACATATAGATAGAGAAACATCTATGTACTCAAGTACCTGGATTGCTCTAGATCAGGGGCAGGCAATTATTTCGGGCAGAGGGCCACTTACCCAGTTTTGGCAGGCTGTCGAGGGCCGCATGGGCAGCCCCACCCCCTGGTCACCATCTTGGGACCAATACCCCAGTGTCTTGGGACCAATGTCCTAGGGCCAGCACCGGTGGGGCCCAAAGCAGGGCACAGGCTGGCAGGAGTCTGTGGAGCTAGGCTGGGCTGCACCAGCAGGGAGAAGGGGGAGCTGGCCCAGCTCCACAGAGCCCCTGCCAGCTGGGACCTCACACTCCTGCCACGCTGCTCTGGGCCGGGCCCGGGACACGGGTGTGGGCGCGCCCGCGCTCCCATACCTGCTCACTCCCAGTGCCCCACACCCCTGCGGTACAGGCGGGGGGCAGCGCACAGCCCCAACCCCCTGCTCCCCGGCAGGGAAGAAGCTGGTGCAGAGTGTGGGGAAAAGTGGCCCCTCACCCGCCCCGTGGCCAGTGCTCCCTGCTGCAGGCGCTCGCAGCCCACGCGGGGCTGTCTGGAGCAGGCCCAGGCAGCTCCAATATAGGGTGCCAGCCATGGGGTGGGCAAGAGGCCACTTTTCTCCATACTGGGAAGGAGCCTGGGGAAAAGCTGAATGTGGGGAAGAGGTGGGAAGACAGCCATGGGGTGGGTGAGAAGCCACTTTTCTCCACACTGGGAAGAAGTCTGGGGAAAAGTTGAGTGTGAGGTAGGGGTGGGAAGCGGCCCCTCGGTCGCCCCATGGCTGGCGCTCCCTGCTGCAGCTGCTCGCAGCCCACACAGGGCTGTCCGGAGCAGGCACAGGCAGCCACAGGTGGGCTGTAAGCAGCTGCAGTGCGGGGCGCTGGACACAGGGTGGGCGAGGGACCGCTTTTCCCTGGGCTCCTTCTATGCCCAGGGTCCTCCCCCGTCTTCTCCACCTTCCCCCTTACCTGCGGTTCCAGCACAGGACAGCCATGTGGTCCCAGGCCAGAAGCCCTGGCTGGGGGGGCGGGGCTAGGTGGGCCCTGCTGTTCTGGGAGCCCGCTGGACTTCCCCTGGGTCCTACTGCCCTTGGTTCCTGTCATTTTTGACAGGAACCAAGGGCAGATAAATATTAAATTTTGTAAATTTTTTTAGGGGCCCCGCAGGCCGGATATAATGGCCTCGCAGGCCAGATCCGGCCCATGGGCCGTATTTTGCCCACCCCTGCTCTAGATATACTAAACATCTACTACACCTCTCCCTGTAGCATTTGTAAGCCAAACAGTGAATCACAAGCCATCACATAAAAATCTACCATCCTATCACATTGGATAATAAACAACTTACTAGGAGCAAGTCAAATGGGTTGAAAACAAGCTATACAACATAGGATTAAAGGAGTTCAAACAGTTGAGTATATCAAAAAGTTCAGAAGCAGCTTGGTCACCAAGCATAGAGCATTTACACAGAAAAGAGTACTAGGAATGGAAGATTTTCTAATTTGTAAAGGTGCAACAGAAACCAATGACGGGAAGCCAAAGTTCAAGACATTCAAACTTAGAAGAAGATAAAAAAATTCCTTGATGCAAAGGTAATGAAAACACTGGAATAGTTTGGGGAGACTATGAATTCACCATTACTTGGAGTTGTTAAGATGAGATCAGATGCCTTTATAGATAAAACACTTTAACCTGGGTACTGGAAAAAATAATTATGACCTGTGTACATAAGACATCAGACTAGATAATTGCACAATACTTTCTGGCCTCAGAATCCATGCTTTAATGAGTTTTAAAAATATTGTTTTGTGTATAAGAGGTTTTCCAAATAAATTAAAATAAAACAACATACCAAATGCTTTAATAAATGTTGTGTGTAATCTCTTAAAATTTACTGTGGTATATAGACCATGACTTGCTTTCGCCTGAGCCAAAAAGTAAACAATTTAAACCATTTGAAATATGGTCATTCCACTATTTTAGGAAAGAAGAGAGTAAGGTAGTTACAAAGGAAAAAAGAGTCCGTCTCCACAGCACAAAAACATTTGGATACATTTCTGTTCACAGGTATTTCCAACAAAACAAAATGTACTTTGAAGTATTAAGACTAGCATAATGTAGGAAAGAAACAGTCCTTTGAGAATCATAACTGAGCTCAAACTAACTTTAGGGCTCATTTACTTCTAACCTAAGTAAAAAGCATAATTTTCCTTGTTATCCAAAACTTTGATTTTTCCTTGCACTAACCTTAAGAACAGAAAATCTGCAACTAAAGCTCATTCTGTTAATTTACCTTTTACTCTCCGACACTGCTTTGTCCAATTTTTGGAAGATGTCTTGAAATAAAATGCAGCTAGAACGACTGTTGATATCGTAGCCATATCCTCTTTTCCAATATTGCTTTAGATCATTCAGGTATTCCAGTACCTAAAAATCATACATATTTTTAAAGTTGTATTTTTGTGAAATAATACATGACATTTATTTTTAAGGCTGTAAACAGCTGTTGCATGTCTCCTTTTCTGCCCGGATCCTACACATTCACACTCATCATCCCACTTCAAGTATCTGTGAAGTAGGTCAAATAAAATATGTTAACGCTTTTCCCAAGACATCACTGGTATGCCTTTAAGTAAGAGATGTCAAACACATTTGTCCCCACGGGCTGGATGAGTGACGTAGGGCAGGTCCATTGGCTGGATAAAACCAACGGGTCCACTGACCCCACCCTCCCCAACCCAAGCCAGATCCAGCATCCATACTGTAATCTGCATGGCACACAATGCCTCCTAGAGCAGCCAAGCTGGGACCTGTACAACACACGATGCTTGCTCCAACCAGCTCAGGACCTGTGCCACAGACTGTACCTGTGGGACCTATATGCAGCGCTGGTCCTAAACTGGCTAGAGCAGGTGCCATGTATGGTGCACGCCCTGGGGCACTGGGGACAGGTGCTGCATGTGATGCAGTTCCTGGACTGCCCAGAATGGGCGTCATGTGATGCACATCCCAGGCCCTGCCTGCATGACCAGTCCAGATCAATTTGACTCTCTGCCACTACCAAGGATTGGATTATGGGAGCCAGAGCTGGATATGGCCTGCAGGCTGTATTTTTGACACCCCTTGTCTATACTAATTCCAGCTAATTTAACTCACTTGTGGCTCATTCTAGGGGCAAGTCTGTCAGGCTATGTGCTCTCCCTTACCACTTACTGGTACTGGAGCAGCAAATGCAGCTTGAAAGGGCATGTAAAGAGCTGCACCCCTCCTATTTTGATCCACATCAACACCTGGGACAAATCAGGACCACCTCAAATGAGACATCTGTTTATAAACTAAATAAGAACACAAATGCACTTGTCTGTCACTAATAGTTTTCTTGGGCAAAAACAAACAAGTTTGGATGGTTTGCTAAAGAAATGCACACCTCTGCTATGCATCTTGAGCTAAAAGAACACAGGCAAAAATGGCCCCTGATTTATAAAATATTTGTGTTCGCTTGCACAAGTTGACAACATTGCCTGATACCCAGTGTGTAAATTCAGGTTTTAAGATGTTGACAGAAGAAGTGCTTTTCATATGCCTGTTCAAGTCCCAAATACTTGAGCTATGCTAAAATAGTGTTTATTATATTGCAGTGCTCTAAAAATGCAGGTAATTTATGCTTAGTAATGAGATAATAAGCTCACAAGACGGCTGTATTTGTAAAGTCATTATGAGATAAATAAAAAGGTGTAAGCTGTGTAGCTGCATAACTGGAATAAACTTGCAGAAGATCTAGGAAGGGCTTTGTCCAAAGCGGTAACAAGATTCTCGACCCATCACTTTTCCATTGACTAAAGCCAATTAAATGAAATCACAAATGAGGAGCCACTCTCGTATCAATCACTTCTACTTAAACAGCAAGATTTCTAGTTTCACAGGAATGAAAACAAATCATTCAAACACCTGTCAGCAATATTTTTGGACTATTCCTCCAACCAGATTAACTCATAAAACTGACAGGAAAACAAGCAAGAGATGCATAGGTGTTTATCAACGTAATGACAACTCTGTGCGTGTCCACAGAGTTTCAATTCTGTAATCACAAAGCCTATTTAAGTTGGTCAAATCAGAGCAGCTCTTTGAAGAAAGGTGCACAGCAGAAGCCTCAGTAATACAGGGATTTTTAAAACAGTTTAAATTTCTTCAAAAGACAAAAAGCAAACAAAAAGGATTATTCTTTCTCCAAATTGATCAGACATCAAAAGCAGTTAAGAACTAGCATTATCTAGAGACAACTAACACTACCAGCTCCCAAATCTAAGCGGAATCAGATTATTTGCAAAACTACAAAAAACACACAACTATGGCGTGTGTCACTGTCATCTATAAAGCCTCCAAGCCCCTCTGTGTCTAAAGATATGCCAAGCTTTAACTATCATTGCAGGAAGGAAAATTACCAGCAAGATCCAGAAAGGGTATGTTACCTCTGTCAAATATGCCGAAAGCCCCTGTCTTTTTGACTACTGTCAGCCAGCTCAGACCAGCACATAATTCTCAACAAATACATTTGAGGCCAGCTTTAATGCTAGAGCATTTAAATCACCAACATCACAAGGGATTCTTCCCACTCCAATGTAATATTTTTTGAAGCAATGAGTATATTTTAGCACCTTTCATCCAAAGATCTCAACATAAATTATTCAGGATTTGTAATACAACTGTCTTATGATTTAGGCCAGACGTACCCAACTTTAGTGCAGTGCATGGTCCCCCTACTACATGGGCTACACCATGCAGCACACCTCTCGCCACCCCATCTGGTACCCTCTCCCCACACCCGTCCCACTGCTCATCGACCAGATGCAGCATGCTGGCCCCTCACAGGCTGCCAGTTGAACAGCCCTGATTTAGGCAAATACGTAGCTCCATATAGATAAGAAAAATAAAGTGAAAAAAAAAACAAGCTCAAGGCCACCAAAAGGTCTGGGTCCAGAGTGAAACCTTTCCTCAAAAGGCTGTCCCTTAATCACATGCTCACACATATCAGTTTACTTTTTACTTCCTTTCCTCTTGCAAGACTGGCAGACCTAGAATAGTAAATCCATCATGATGTCAAAAAAGGATAATGTCCCAAATAGGAAAAATCTACAGCCTCAGAAGAAGAGCAGGAAAAGGATAATCTATTAGACATACATTCAGCTCTTTAAAAGAAAAAAAACAAACAAACCCTTGGCCTTGCTCAGCATAAACAATTCTCTAAGACCCATAGAAAGCTTTGAAGGTAAAACCAGGAAACAATAAGTCTCAAAGTAGGCCATCACCATCAGTTAACTCAAGCAGGTAGGCTTGTCAAGTAAGTTTATACTTCTGCAAGACTATTTTAAAACCTTATATATGAATTTCACTGAAACCCCTGAAACAAACTTTGTGTTTACTTAATGGGGAGATTCCCTCATGATTGTTCTCCTTTAATTTTAACTATTGATTCTGAACCAAGGTGCCACAGTACCCCGGGGTGCTGCCAGGTTCTGACGCATGACATAAGATGTGGAGATAAACAAGTAACTGTAGGTTCAGGCTCAGTCCCTGTCTGGCCAAAGCTCCACCCCTACTACCACACCCTATAATATATAAATTCATTTTTAAAATTGGGTGCCACTCGATTCACAGGAGTTATGAAGGGGTGCAGAGTCCAAGAAAGTTGAGAACCACCAATGTAGACAAAGCAGCATGGGTGACACTTGTTCTGTATCAGGATCTGCACTGTTGAAAATCTGAATATTAGTTTTAGATTTCAAGAGGCACTCATGCTGAAGCAACTGACAGGAAACAAGTCTAACATGAAAAAAAATTCATACATTTCTCTAAAAACGTTCCTTAAAAATGCTGGGACATTTATGTGCTGCTGAAAGAAACAGCAAGGTGCAAATTTATGGTTAGAACAGCAGATGTTGGAAAGTGGAAATCTGATGGGGATTTCCTGAGCAGTCCAAGGTTACTGCTGATTCAAGTGCCCCTTTTATTAAGGGAAAAGAAGAGGGAGTGGAAGGTAGGCTTGTTGAAAGCCTCTGGGGAAAAGGTAGAGCAGCAGGGTGGATATCATAGTGGGCATCTGCTATGGGCCACCACACCAGGAAGAAGAGGTGAACAAGGTTTTCTTTAAAAGAACCGACAGAAGCTCCCAAGTCACAGCACCTGGTTCTCATGGGGGACTAATTACCACGATACCTGGTGGAAGGGAAACATAGCATTTGCTGGACTGCCTGTGCACTGCAGGGGAGAGAGGAAGAGAGAGCCAAGGCGAGTTCTTTGCAGTTTGCTGCTCACAAACAGGGAAGAATTGGTTGAGAATGTGAAGGTAACCTAGGTAATAGCGATCATGAAATGACAGAGTTTGAGATCCTAAAGGGAGGAAGAAAAGAAAGCAGCAAAATAAGAGACAGTGGACTTCAAAAAAAGCAGACATTAAACTCAGGGAGCTGGTGGGCAGGATTCCTTGGGAGGCAAGTCTAAAGGGGGAAAAAGGAGTGGAGGCCCTTTTAAGGGTATAGGAGCAAGATATCCCAAAGCATCAAAAGAATGGAAAGTGCAACAGGAGCCCACTCTGGCTAGACAACAATCTTTTCAGGGAGTTAAAACTCAAAAAAGAAATCCTATTAAAAAGTGAAAATTTGGTCTCAGTAATAGGGAAGAGTATTGCACAGGCATGCAGGGAAAAATTAGGAAGGCAAAGACAGTTTGAGATGCAACTGGCAAGGGACATAAAAGGCAATAAAAAGGGATTCTAAAGGTATGTCTGAAGTAAGACGACCACCAGAGAAACCGCAAGGCCTGTACAGAATTGCAGAAGGCAATCTAGTTACAGAAGATGCAGAGAAGGCTAAAGTATTTAATGCCTTTTTTAAAGGTCAGTCTTCACACACAGGTGCCAGATGACAAGCACAATTGGCAGCAAAGACCAAGAAGGAGTCAAACAACCTACTGTAGTGACAGAATAGGTTTAGGGATTACTTTGAAAGCATCTAGATTCTCTAATTAGCAGGGCCAGATGGGAAGCACCCTGGGGTATTGAAGGAATTCACTGAGGTAAATTCAGAGCCACATCGACTATCCTTCTTGAGATATTATACAAGTCCGATGAAGTCCTACATGATTAGAAAATGGCAAACATAGTGCCCGCCTTTAAGAAAGTAAATGGAGGATGATCTGTGGCATTACAAACCAGGCAGCCTGACCTTGATACTGGGAAAGATCATAGAGCAGATCCTCAAGGAATCTATTGTGAAGCACTTAGAGAAGAACAAGTTGATCAGGAACAGCAGCATGGATTTACCAAAAGCGAGTCATGCCTGACCAACCTGATTTACTTCTATGAAACAATGATGTACTCTGCAGAAACACAGAGAGCAGTGGATGTGATAGAGTTGACTTCAGCAAGACCTTTAACACCATCTCCCACAGCATTCTCATTAACAATCTCTAGACATATAAACTAGGTGAAAGTACTGCAACATGGATATATAACTGGTTGGATAACTGTGATCGATGAGTAGTCATCAATGGCTCAATGTCTAGCTGGGAGGAGGTATCAAGTTGGGTTTGCAAGGGATAAGTTCTGGGTCTGGTATCATTTAATGTCTTCTGTGGCAGGCCAGTAGGGGGTGCTCCTGCGTTGAGCCACCCACCTCACTGTGCCTGTCCACCTTCCAGGCTCTGAGTGCCTCCCTGGGGCTGCCTCACATCTGGGTGACCCCCTTCCTGAAGCACACCCGCTAGCCTGGGGTAAAAACTGCCACCACCCAGGGCCAGTCTGATTCTGGCTCTGTGTCCCCTGGGTAACACAGGCCTAGTAGCCCTCGAGGATACTTGACTCACTTCAAGTGCTTGGGGGTGCTTCCCTCAGTCGGAAGCACAAGCAGTGGTCTCCTTTAGTCAGCTGAACCAAGGGGACCCCAAGGCATAATCTAGACCCACACCCAATAAGTCTCCCATGCTAGGTACAAAGAAGAACTTTATTGGTTACAAGGGGTAGGGTTGGAATAGGGTTCAGGGTAGAGCAATATCAGAGAAATTCCATAGAGCAAACTGGCATGGCTGGGTAGCCTCTGATCATGCATCTGAGTTACTGCAAGCTATATATCTAGTTAGATCTCAAGTAGCTTACTTACAAGTATCACCCAGAGGCAGGTGAAGATTCCCTGTGGAGGCAGGCAATTCCTTGATCATGAGTTTTGAGAGAGAGAGAGAGAGCGCGAGCGAGCGAGCGAGCAAGCAAGTTTCAGATGGTCCAGCTCTTCTCTCTTTGAGTCTTCCTCATGGCTGCTGCCCCCCCCTCCTGGGCAGTCCTTAACTTATATAGCCCTTATGACCTCATTTGCCTGGTCCAATGGAAGCCAGCACCTGTTGGCTGTCAGCCAACTAATTTGAAATGCATCACTAATTGCTGGGCAGACTGGCAGTTCCTAGCTCCCCAGGGAGCCCAAGCCCCAGGGTCAATTTTCTGATCATGAGAAAAGGCTGAAAAAACTGGGGTTATTTAGCCTGGAGAAGAGACGATTGAAGTGGAATTTGATAACAGTCTTCAAATACCTGAAGGGCAATTATAAAGAGGATGGAGATGGTCCTCTCTCTCTCTGTGGCCATAGGGGATAGGGCTAGGACCAATGACCTCAAAATGCAGCAGAGGAAATTTGGGTTAGAGATTAGGAAGAAATTTCTGGCTATGAGGGTAGTCAAGTATTGTAACAGGCTTCCTATAGAGGTTGTGGAATCTCCATCCCTTAAAATGTTCAAGAGCAGGTTGGACAGACACATGGTTTAGTCAGGGGAGACCCTGCCTTGAGCAAGGGGCTGGATTAGATGACCTTGTGGAGTCCATTCCAGCTCTATTTTTCTATGATCCTATAATCCTAAATTGTAAGTATTGGCTAATAGGTTACAGCATACTCCATGGTGAAGTGCTTGAACCATTTCACACTAAGGCTTCATCTTTTCTCCAAAGAACATATGGTTATTCACTTGGTATCCATTACAGTATACAAAGAAACATTTTACCAGCTAAATAAAACAAAATAAAATCATTAAATAGCTTTCTGAGCTTCGTAAGGAGCTGTATCAGAATATTAATAATCTTTTAAAACCATTAAAAACCCCGTCTATTTTTAGTTCTCCCATTTTCTTAAAATTTCCTCTTTTAACTTTCCTTTTTGAGAGTAACTTGGTAATTTCTTTTGGGAGAAGCTAAGAAATGAAAAACTAAATGTTTAGCTATTTAGATACATCCATCTGTTACCAATGATATTTTCAATAGATTAAAAGTGTTGAGCTCTAAATTGTTACATGCCTTTATCAACTGATTATATGCAACAGTACTGAAACGTACAGCTAAGGATCAGAGGTCAACTTCACTAAATAATAAAGTGGAACACAACCAAACAGCAGTTTTCACCTTTTCATTGTTTCAGTATTAGACAAACATTACAGTGCCTTGAGTCCATTCATAGTCAAGCCTCATTAGACACAGGGAGGAAAAACACTTTCTTTTGGAAGTGTGAATGATCTGTTACCTACCAAAAGCAAGAGAGAAAAATGTATCTGTTCCAAATGATTCTTAGATTTGTTTTTTTCAGAAGTTCAGTAAGTGATAAACTCTTCACATTAATACTCAAAAACAAATAGAAATATTCAAAGTTAACATGGCTATATATTCAACACCTACTTTAGCATCTTCTTCATCAAAGATTGAACACCAAGGAGAGGTTACATTCTTAAGAGCCAACTCAAATGAACAGGTGAAAAAAGCCACTTGAATCAGATCTGAAATAAATCCAGAAAAATAAGCGTAAAAAAATGGTAACTAGTTATACTTGCTCTCTACCACCCCCTCACCATCACTCCCCTGCCATGAGAAGGAATTGTGACAGAAGCAGAAATGATACCTAATAGACAACAACCAGTCCAAGTGCATACTAAGACACCATCTTTGCACAATGGGACTACTCATGTTCCATTATGAAAATGATACTTATTTACACATCTATAGAAACTGGGTCCTGGATTGCAAACATTTCACACGATACAGTCATGTGCACCAAACAGTCATGTGTTTAACAATTTGCAACTGCTGATGTAAGCATTATTCTTATTATGCAACAGACTAGATCACAAAATATTGGCACATAGGCACATTCTATTGGCACATAGGGGCTCTAATCCTAGTCAAGCCCCTCCCTCTGTTGCACTCATTTAAGGATCCAAATAGCAGCAATGGTGTCACTCCCTAGCCTCTTTAAATCAGCTTCCTCCAGCCTTAGCAGGTCCTACAGTTTCTGTGCTACTAAAGAATTCTGTTTCTATCTTGTTAAACAGCAGCACTAATGACTTGTTCCACTGTTCCTTTCTGTTCAAATGTTTCCTCCCGATGCAGTGTACCTGGAATTATTATCCAATTACTGTGTATTTCAGTTCAGGAAATCACACACTCATGCTCTTACTACACTATAGTAATTAAAATGTTAGGGTTTTTTGTTTGTTCTATAGCTTTTCCCCAACTGGGTGTGTAATACATAGCAGGAACTTTGAAAGTTTCAGGTAGAACAAAAAACTGCAATTTAACAAAATGTTGCTAATTTAGCTCATATATAGTTTAATGATTTTATAGGCTTAAATAAAATTTCTCAATGAAAAAAGGACTGCAAAGAGAAATACCCTAGCAGTCCTTAGCTTAACAATTCAGCTAAACTGAATATTCTCAGGATGAGCAATAGTAAGACATATCCAAGGCATGTGATCTCTATGGCTCCAACAGTAACCCAAGCATTTTACTATGGCATACTGAAATACAAGCATTTATAAAAGTTTATGTAATGCAGAAGATAGAAAACAATACCTTATCACATTTCACCAATTCCTTTAGACTGTGTGCTATGCCTTTTTTTTCCCCCCATAAAGAATAAATTTCTGTAATTTTCAAAATGATCTGTACCAAGTTCATGTAATCTAACTGGGAAAGATTTTTCTACAGATTTCTTATACATTAACTTTTCTTCTGAAAATTCACTACTTAATATTCATTGTTAAAACATGCATGTAATTTAACAGCTTACTTAGTATAAAGCTACAGAATTTTATCATAACTGTTTCTGTAAATTAAGCTGCTAACCCACAGGTTTATTTATTACACTGAACATCTCTTAAAATCAACCCAGAATTCAGGGTTCCTTTGTATCTTTAGTCTTTCTTCCAGAACAACATTCTTGACTGAACTATTAAACCTGATATTCTATCATTTTTTAGATTATTTAAGTCAGTGTACACTGCCCAGTTTCAGAAAACCAACACATTTTAACAACTGTTTTTACTCAATTGGTGATGTCATGTACTCTCTTCATTAATCTTCCCCAAAACCTCAAAAGAGAATTGAACACATCTGCTCTTCCAAACTGATGTACCTAGAAAAATATTTATGTAATTAAAAAACAACAACAACAAGAGCCACAGGATATGTACTCTACCTGCATTCAACTCATTCACTGGTAGACATAAGGTATTGGCAATTTTTTCCAAAACGTTTTGCATCTTGGAACCATTTTTGAAGGCATCCACTTGATGCAAAGCTGTTCTGTTTTCTTCTATACAGGTTATGAACTTCTCACAGTGATCAAAGAACCTCATTAATTTATCATTAATTTCAATAACTTGGTTCTCCATATCTAAAGGGAAAAAGACAATGAGCAACTATATAGTAACTATTAAAAATGTAACAATTTACAGAATTTCATTCCAAGCCTTAGCCAAGCAATTTGAGAAGGAAACGAACTGTTAGACCAGGGATGAGTAAAGTACGGCCTGCAAGTCGAATCCATCCCATCAAGAGATTTTATCCAGCCTGCAGCAGGTCCCTCAGTCCCACCAGGCCAAGACACAGGTAACAACCTGGGCCATGGCATGTACAGCCACACCCACTGCCCAAGCCCCACTGCAGGGCTGAGGTGGCACAGCAACTGGACTTACTTCCTAGAAGCTGCAGCAGCTGCTCTGCCAGATGCGGCTCCTGCTGCCAGAGCACCCAGCCTGTCCCCCCCTTGCACCCACCACCAGGGGTGGGACCCACATAGGCAGGGCCCGTGGCTGGGCAGATGGGATGGCACCGGGATCCCAGGGCAGGACCTCAGGGAGGTGGTGACAGCGCAGGGTTGGGGCCTGTGCACCCCTGCAACAAGCACTGGTTCTGCTGGCAGCGGTGTGTGGGGAACAGATGGTGGCTCTGCCCCAGTCCCACTGTCAGTACCTCAAAATCCCAGCCCCGACTCCATCTGCCAGTCCTGCTCCCCACCTGCCCATGGCCCCATCCATCTGGCTGCACGCCCCAACCGTATGAGTCCCAGCCAGTCTCCATGGAGACCCTGGGAATTGCTGGGTGATGACAGCATAGGACCAGGGCCTGAACTGAGATCCACTCCCTGCACGCTCCTGCCCAAGGAACCAGTGCCTGTGGCAGGGGCATGGAGTGGATGGTGCCTCTGACTTGTGCCCCAGCCCTGCACCATTACAGCCCCACCCACTGCCCACTCCCACATGCCGCTCCTTGTCCGCCTGGCCCAGCACTGAGCAGAGCCACTTAAGAGTTTTGGGGAGCTGTTGGGGGGAGCAGGTGTTGACCTTGTGTGGCCATGGAGGGTGCCGACCCGACCCGCAACAGCTCACCAAAACTCCCTAAATGGCCCTCCGGCCCAAATAACTGTCCCCCCCCCACCGCCGCATAGCATAGCAACAAGGAGACAGGTGACCTATTTTAGTTTGCCTCTAATTTCCTACATGATTTTTTTCATTTCAACCCTATTCCCAAAAAACAAAAAGAACCAATGCTCCACCTGTGCCCCAGTGAGATACAATTGAACCAAACTCAGCTCTGGCTTAAGAGTTCAATTACAGACTCAAAGAAGGGTCTCTTGCATTGGATCAACTATCCCAATGATGCAGACGGTGGGATAAGAGGCTTCCCTAGGAAATCCTTGTCCCTGGCATCATTTCTGGCCCCAGCCCAGCTACACTCTTAGGCTACTGAGAGAGTGCAGCTGACACACACGGCCTTGCCTCTGCTTGTGCACTTTATTGCTCACCTGCCCTAGGACCAAGCTCTGACCAATGCCCCAAGACCTGGGTCCCGACAGCCAAACAAGGTGGGAGGGGGAGACATCACCTCCAGCATGGCCCTTATGTCCCAGCGCCACAGTCCCCACCCCACGGTGCCACCACAGCAGGGTGAAGGGGCTGTGGGAAGGGTGCCGCTGGGTGCCCCGGGGAAGGCGGGTGCGAGAAGGGGGCCCCACCTCGGCAGGGCGCCCTCACCTGGGACAGGGGGCAGCCCCTGGCGGAAGGCGGCGCTGCTCTCCACGCAGCGGTGCTTGGAGCTGCTGAGGAATGCGGCGCGGCGGCGCGGCGAAATGAGGGCGGGGAAGCGGGCGGCCAGGCGCCGAGCTAGGTGCTCCATGTCGCGGCGGCCCTGCTCGGCCAGGCGCCCGTCCATGTCGGGCCGGTACCACAGGTCCCAGGCGGCGAGGCGC